GCCCTTCCTGGGTGACCGCCGCAGCCTCCGGACTGGCTTCCTTCTCCCCTTCGTGTCATCTTCTGGTCTTTCTCCACACAGCAGCCTGAGTGAACTTTTTAAAGCACAAATAAGATCACTTTTTTATTTGAGTTCTCAGAGTCTTCTCAACGCATTTGTGATAAAACTTCTATTATAAAAGCCAAACTTTTGGCTGATGAGGCCCTACCTGATCTTGTCCTTGCCTCCTCTCTGGCTTCATCCCCCACACTCTTCTCATGCCCACCCCCTGTCTTGTTTAGTGCCGCCTTGAATACTCCAGGTTTACGCTTGACATTGTGTTTCCTCCTGCAAGGCACACGATTCCCGGTGGTCATCGTGTAACTTTAACTAGGTGGCACGCAGGCAGCCATGACGCTCTTTCATGTTCTGCTGAGCAATCATCATTGTCTGGAATTACCTTATTTATTTCTTAACTTGTTTAATGTTTTTGTCACTTCGCCAGATCCTTTAGTATAAGCAACCTGGTCCATGCTTTTCACAGCTGTATTCCTAACCTCCTGAGAATACTGCCTGGCACCTGGTCGGCACTCAAGAAATCTTGCAGACCGACTAGACTTACGGTGAACATTACAGAATCGGTTGTAGAACAGACAGATTGGAAGTGAGGCTATTAGTGCGGCTATCGGAAGTTAGGGATTTGGTACAGTGATAAGGAGATGTGATGCGTACTTGAACCAAGGCCACGGCAGTGGGAACGGGAGGCTCATTGACACATGTAGTGAAGCTGCAACCCAAAGTGTACATACCCAGTATAGACACAGACACGTTCCCAAGATGATTAAATGGAAACAGCAAGAGCAAAGGCCACAGTAAGCCAAGTGCAGAGTGGTTGCCGCTTCCTGCCTTACACGCTCATTTCAGTTTGTCATCTCATACCAACCATTTCATGTTTCTTGGTTTGAGAAAGTTGTTTGTGTACGAAAGAAATCCAAGCAACATGTCTTAAGCCCACAGGTGTTTAAGTATCCCAGTGACTAAAAATTGTATGTCAAACTCAGTTTTCTCTTTTTTAATACAAATGATAAATTTAAGCCCCTGGTTGGCATATCTCAGTGATGTTTGAACCATCTATGGCATGGTCACCAGAAGGCACAATCAGTTACAGGAATCTTTGTGGAATGTCTGTGCATCATGACTCTGCCTGAGGCCCCTAGAAATCTGTATGAGAAGGGCAAGGTCATGTTTTATAGAATTTAAAGAAAATTTTAAAGTTATGTGTGTTTCAGATATTTGATGCATAAATGGTCCCTGATCAGAGGGAGGGGTTATTAGATTAGAAGAGGAGTTTCAGAGCCGGGGAGCTGGTACAAAAATTAAAGGTTTTGTCAGGGCTTCCAGAAGACAACCTCAGACCCTGACTTTTGCAGTCCAAACTTTGCGGTCCAAAAAGTGCCCCTCATGTACCTCGTGGGATTTGCAGGAAAGGACAGATCCCCTTTGTCTGTCCTGACAGATATTCTCTCTTAGAGGAAAACCAACCCGTCTTTTGCAGTCCAAAAAGTGCCCCTCATGTACCTCGTGGGATTTGCAGGGAAGGACAGATCCCCTTTGTCTGTCCTGACAGATATTCTCTCTTAGAGGAAAACCAACCCGTCCACCAACCAGCCAACCAGACTCGCCCATGCTTGTCTCCCACATAAGAGATCACCCCTATCCCAGCACGTGCACAGTACACAAAACTCCGTGTTTATCAATGAATACATTTTTGAGGAAGTGATTTTTCTCATGGTCGCAGGAGTCTTTGTTTATTAAAGGATTTAAACTTAGAATGACTTCTATAGGATTGAATATTTGTTTGTAGGTCCTTAGCTGCTTTTCAGCAGGAGAGCCCCCTTTTGATTTTCCAGGTTGGCTTACACGGTAAGTCATAGGGAAGGTAGGGCATGTGTTATTTATCATCTCAAGGGGAGAAGCTTGCAGAAGCGAAGCGTGTGCTCCAGCTGTGAGTACAGCTGAGGCGTCCTGTGAACACAGGGCCCATCCCAGCCAAGGACTTTCCAAAATGCGGGAGACTGTGCTGTGGTACTGCCGAGAGGCTGGGGACTTGGGCAAGTCCTCTAACCTCTCTCCATCCCAGTTCTTATCTACGAAACGGAGTTTGCACTTGTTTAGTTAGATATTCCCCTTCTACCTGTAGAAATCTGGAATTTAATAATAAAGGTGGAGAAACTTATAGCTAAGAAACTCTGATCTCTTTCCCATGAAAACATTAGTTAGAAATAAAGATTTAAAAAAACCCAATCATTAGGTGACTTTAGGGAAATGGTTTTGGTTAGAATGAGCTGATCCATAGTTAGCTTTGTCGGAATTGCTACCATTTCGTCTGTGTATAGGTGGCAGATATAAACTTAGGTCTGGACTCAAACACTTGTGGAAGCATTTTCTGAGAGAGCCACTCACAGATAAAGTTCCTCAGGATAGAATTGCCATCCCTCTGCTCCAAGTGCTTGGCATGGCCCTTTTCTGTGCCTTTTGACTTATTAAATGCTGCCCTCATCTGACATTGAGACAGCATCCTGGGAGGATTAGCCACTAGCCATGTGTTTTTATTTTCCTGCCTTTATGCCCAACCACATCTTTGGAGATGCAGCACACAGGTCTTGTCCATAGACAGACTTTGGTTCAAATCTCAGGCTTGGGAGGTGTGACCATGAGCTGTCTATTTAATTTTTCTAAATCTTAGTTTCACCACCACCATCATCATCATCATCATCATCATCATCATCATCATCGCTCGCATTAATTTATTATTTATTGTGGTAGACACTGTTTCAAGCCTATTATCTTCATTAAGTCATTGAGGATTTACAACAACCTACAGGGTAGAATTATAATACTCCCCGTTTCACACGCAGAATGATGTTTAGTCATTCTGAAGCTGTGCAGCTAAAGAGTGAGAAACCTGTGTTTTATGCTCAGAAGGAGCCCTGTTACTAATCCCCACTGCGTGCTGCCTCTCACCGTGGGCTGCGTGTATCGGCCAGGATGTGCCATGCCGCCGTAACAAACCCCACATCTTAGCGGCTCGAGACAGCAGAGGTTCCTTCCTCGCCTCATTCCGTGCACTGGCTGGGAGATCTGTTCAGCCTTATCCTCATTCCAGGGCTGGCCTGGTAAAGCAGCCATTTGCTTGGAAGTTAGCATTCTTTATACCAGACAGAAGGGCAGCTCCAGTGTGGGGTTTCTCAGCGTTGGCACTATTGGCATTTCGGGACGAATAATTTCTTGTCTGGGGGGTGCTGTCCTGGGTACTGCGGGATGTTTAGCAGCACCCCCGGACTCCATCCACTAGGTGCTAGGTGACCGTCCCCCAGTCATGACAACCCCAAATTGCCAAGTGTCTCCAGAGAGGCACTGCCTTAGACGAAGGGTTGTTAAAGGTTAAATGAACTGATATATGTGAAGCTGTTGTGAGAGCGAGTCGTAGGTGTTTGGTGGATATTAACTGTCATCAGCCTCATCATCGTTTTCATATGGTTGTAGGTAGCTAATTAGCAAGGTTATACCTGCCCTCTCTTCCTTTCCCTAGGTCTATGCTGTGGTGGTAATTGCATCGGTGGTGGGATTTTGTCTGCTGGTAATGCTGTTTCTGCTGAAGTTGGCAAGACACTCCAAGTTTGGCATGAAAGGTAAGAAAGGTTGTGTTTATTTTACTTCTCATGTTGCATCATTTTTGGCTTGTGACCAATGCTAATTACCACTAAAGAAGGAAGCAGCTAGATTCTCGATGACTAGGTTTTAAGGCTAAAAAAAACAGCAACAAGGGCACGATACTACAAATTAAGACAGAGCAAAATAACGTTGATTACTTAGCAGTACTCACTTTCCCATGAGGACAGTTGTCCCGGAAGATGCAGAACTGGTTTCTTGAGTATCAAGAGACTAATAATGAAATAGGCAAATAAACGGTGCTCGGTTTTTCCTCTGCTTCAGAAAGGCAGGCAAGGCACAGTGGCAATAGGGCAGCGTGGACGCGCGTGTTTTGTACAGACGGGTGCTTCCTGCCTGCACTGGAGTTCCACGTCTCCAGTGGTATGCTGTGGGTGTTGCTACTGCTTTTACAGATTCTAATTTTTTGAAATCTAAACAACAGAGTTGGGAAGCAAAATAAGAATAGCCATTTGGCAGGACATGGAAGTTTTGTGAATGAATGGCTTCTTTTTTTTGAGTGGAAAAATTCTCAGGGCTGAATTAAAAATTAGGAACTCTACTGTCCATGAATAGGTAACTGGTTTTTTTTAGAGGACTGAAAGTTAATTTTAGGGGGAAAAAGTTTTATAAATATTCTTGTTACATAAAATGTAAAGAGTTTCAATGATTTAAAAGTGTTTACTGAGATGTTTAAACTTATGTATCGGCTAGTACGTTATTGTTGTATTTTGTGTGGCCTCTTACGGGTGTAACACTTACACTGTTTGTAAGTGTTAAGTAGGGGGGCGTGTGGAAGGTTTAAGCGGTGTCTTAGCTGTGCTGGAGAGCACGTCTGGAGGGTTTCCTTTATCTGAATGGTCTATTAGACTTACCGTTAATGGTGCTCGTGTACCTGGAAGGGAATGTCTAATGAGCAGTAAGTGGGCCAGCGTGAACTGCGCTCTGGGGAGGATCAGGCCTGTTTCTTATGTTTCCTTCTCTCCCTTTGTTGATGGCCACCACTGAGATTCCTAAGATGGAAGTGAGTGAGTCGTGCTAAATTTGGGCTTGAAAGTCTCCCCCAAATCTTCTCCTGATTTCCCCTTGGTCTGCTGACCCTTGACATTGCTATAGGAAGAGAAAAGATCTTTCATTTTCCAATTATAGATGAGGCTTGGGAGAGAGACTACGCCACAGTGATTTTAATTCATCTCGTGGCAGTGGTTCTCGACTTGACTGTGCACCACAAACTCTCGTAGGACTTGTGGAGACACAGGTCGCTAGGCCCTTCCTGGAGTGTCTAATGCAGTAGGTCTGGGGCGAACTGAGACTGGCATTTCTCACAGTTTCTGGGGGAACCTGATTCTGCTGTCGCCCAAGCATTCTCTGAGAAGCCCTGCTCTGTGCTATGAACGTGAGCTCCCGGGTCTCCTGAGTGTGACAGCTGCTGGGGAGGCACCGCAAACCAAACCCAGTCATTGCGTTGTAGACCTTTGGGTCCCAGTGCTTCGGCAGGCACCCGGCCTGGGCTGGGCTGCTGCTGTCTGTGTAAAGTCTACCTCCCAGAGGATTTTGTTTTTCTCATTTTTATCAGGTGCTTTCTTTCCATAAAGGTACCTGGACTGGATGTCCCCAAGCATAGATTTTACCAGAGAGTATCAGGTCCTAGAAGTACAATTTTCTGTCTTGAAGGGTTTAGTTCGAGATCTTTCATCCCATGAGTTCTGCAGAGAGAATGTGTTTAGGTCCTTCTGGGAGCTCCACAAAAGCTTCGAGAATCTATAGAACAAAATTTAGGAGCCCCTCCCCTCCTTTGGTTTAGGAAAACCACAGACAGAATTATCTGTAAATGTCAACCTGCTCTGTAGTGCGGCAGTGAAGGATAAAAAAGACATTTTGTTTTAGAGAAGATTGCATTTCATATTGAGACCCCAGCACTAAAACTGAAGCAGTATTTTGTTCGGATGACTTGGGGTGGTTGTCACTAGAGCACCTGAGGGTATCCTTAATGAATTGTAAGGAAGAGTTTGCTTTGCCTGCCACAGAGCCAGCAGGTGACTTCGTTCAGGCAGTAACTACCATATTGTGTGTTTTGCTGCCTTACTTCTAAACACAATAGAATTGTTTTTAGAAATTTTGTCTTAGAGACTCACATGCTTGTTTAGAATAGCTTACTTTTCTATTTTTGGCTGCATGCCTATCTGTGGCATGCTGTAGGCAAAACAGGCCTGGGCTGAGATTGTTGTTTTATGAGCCAGACACTGAGTCGATAATCTTTGGGAGTCTAGAAATTAGGATGCGGCTTATGCACTGAGTGCAAAAGAAACTGCATAAAAAGGGGTGTTTAAAAATCAATGTAAGTTAGTGTGCTTTAAATGCGGTTAGAACCGGGATTACCGCTGGAGTACATATGTCTTAAAACAGGAAGAAAATGCAAAAATACTTCTATACTTCTTGAAATAATCAGGCAATATGTCAGTCGTGGTTTCTGCGTAGCAGTGGTGTGCATTGTGCACACGTGCCCTTGGCCGGAACTACAGACGCTGTGAGAGGCCAGTGGTGGGTGTGCAGACGGGCACTGCCGAATGTGGTCCTGGCTGTTGCAAGCGTCTCCGGGGAGCTTCTAACCCCATCTTCTTCTCTCTTCCTGGAGACAGATCGAGACAGTGACTGCCAGCCCACCCAGAGACACAGCTTTTTGCCCATCCCTGGCATTGCAGTTTATCTCCAGTGTTGACTGTTTCAATCTGTAGTAGAAACTTCCAGATTATAAACTACAGTTTAATACTGTTGATGTGAAGGGCCCAGGTTAACACAAACCAGAAACCTTTTAAGATCACACTACAGCTGAATGCAAGGCAACTCAGGTTTTACAGATCGACCCGAGACCCCAAACATTATTTATGGCCTTGCTTTCATGGGAAGGTGATCTCTAAATTCCAGAGTAATGAGTTAAACCTGGATTTGAGGAGACAACCAGTGAGCTGTGGTGTTGTCCTTGGAGACAGGTCCATGGGACTGTGAGCGTCATCAGTTTTTTTCCCCTTGTCCATTCACTGTAAACCGAATGCTGATGGTACAGTCCAGGGCAGGTGGCACAGACGGTGCGCTCCGTGGCGGTGGCATTCACTCTCGTCTTGGGCATCTTTACTCACCCAGTGCCCAAGCCAGGCCTGGCACCGAGTACATCAATAATTAATAATTAATAATTAGTTGACTGGATGATCAGAGAGAATTTTCAGCTTCACCCACTTAGTTTAGTTTAGTGTTGTAACTGGAAAACAGTTAATGTTTGGAGAATGGCTAGCGTGACTGGTTAAAGACAGACCATTCTGAGGCTTCTTCAAGACTCCGTAGGGGACAAAGTGCCCTGTGTTCTTCTTTTCATTTTTTTCAGTTATTTCGGATAGGTAATGGCCATAGACGAGAGGTCATTTTGTCCAGGCTTTGTCTTGGGGTATGTAGGTTTTCACACACTGTTTTAAACAATTATTATTAAATTTGGAGGATTCGCTTTGACTTTCCATTTTGCACATGGATATCTTGAAATCATACCTCTCTGCCTTTGAATGGATGACTTCAGAATATGTGTTTTTGTCCAGCTCTGAGGTAGGCGGAAGCGCCAGATGGTGTCTCATATCTTGCTGTTAACCTAGAATTTATCTTTCGTTATTGCGGGACACAGTTTAAGCTTCTTCTTGCTAGTGTCCAATAGGCCACTGGCCCTGTTTCAATAAAGACATCAAGAGGTAGAATTTATCCTGGTCCATTTTCCCATGTTCATTTCTATGCCTTTACACTGTCCTATCGCTTTTTGGTTGAGTAATTACCATAACTGTAGAATCCCAAATAAAGCCCCTCTGGTAGTGGTTGGCCATCCGTATAAGGATTGTGCATATGTGTGCTTGATATGCATGTATAGAATGTATAACAAATATATTTCAATCTATGGGTCTATCAATCCCCCATATGTAAATGTATAATTTAATCCCTTTTCTTCTAGGGCTGCCTCTGATTTATTTTAATTTTAGTTTTCACTGAAATAGGGCTCAAAGAATTTTCTAGAGTAGCTTTACTGTTAAAGAAACAGGGAAGCAGGCCTTTGACTGCCCTCGCTAGTGCTGTGACCAGGTCCTGCACTGAGCTCTCACGTTGCTTCCTGGCTCCCTCTCTGCACTGAAGGTGTCCAAGTGCCTGGGAAGGGGAAGTGGAAGCAGCAAGGGGCATGAGGCTGCCAAGTCTTCAAAGAGTGCTCCACGTCGGGAGCCCTGCCTGTGGCGCTGATGGTGCACAGGGTTGGAAAAATAGAAGGGAGCCAGCAGGGAGGAGGCGGCCTGGCATGCATTGCGCTGGCGGAGAATAGTTTGGCTACTAGCTTTGCGTTGCTTGATTTTCTGATGGAAGTCCGCATGTGATATTTATTCCCTGAGTATTGATGCATCTTTTGTCCTCGAGAGTTAAAGATCTTAGTGACTCTAGGAAGCTTTTTCTCTCATTCAGTGTTGATAGCCTGCACAGATTTCGTCTGAGGCCTCCTATCCTTGTAGCAAACCACCCTATTCTAATTCGATTCTGCTATTTGAGCATTAGAAGTTTCCAATAAGTAAAAACTGAAAAGCCACACTGCCTGAGGAGGTCGATCCAGGTTTTCTTAACTCCAGATACAAGGCTCACAGTTTAAATTTCTGCTCTTATAAATGATCTTCTAAATGTCTTTCAACAGCAACCAAAAATCTGGTTATTTAAAAATAGTCATAAACATAGTGGGGCCAAAGCTAAAAAAGGTTGAAGGTGAAAGCTTTTTATATGAGCTGAAAACAATTCTGGAAAGTTTAGGAGGGTGAATTAACAGATATTTGGATCGACTTTTAAAAGGGAAAAATGTGACTGAAAGCCAGAAACACAGTTGTAGAAACATCTGTAAGGACAAACTGTTTTCCATATGACCCTCCGCCCCCACCTTTTTTAAAAAGAAAAATAACATCGAAAAATTATAACA